TTCTCTCCCACGCTTTTTCTACTTCTCTGCCTCTCTATCCCTTTCTATCTACCTATTTAGTCCGATCAAACTTCATTTCATAGATATTACCGAGCTCGTTTAATAAACCAACAAATTTCGTGCCAAAAATTTGTATGTAGTGGTTCATCGCTAAGAGAATGACTTCCTCACTATAGATCATAAATGTCCTAATCTCTAAGAAAGGTATTCGGCTAGAAATCCTTCTGATGAACCCTTGTGAAGCCTGTTATCCTCGACCAACTAATCCTTAAACACGAATACTCCAGATTTCTCGTCCTTTCCCAGCACCAGTATACTTGTTCTGAAAGCTTATACTATGTTTGTGTTATTTTCGACGCTAAAAGTATTCAGGTTTTTCAGTACTTCAAAAATTCGCCAGTACTTCTCAGTTCTTCTTGTTAAGCATTTTCTCCTGTTTTTGTTTTCTTCGAACGTCCGTCTTTAGTGTTAAAATTCAATTGACGCCAATTCCTTTACGAAGAGGACCGGTCGCCAGCAGAGATTATGACAACTGATAGGAAGCGTTGTGTGATTACAGGCGTCAATTCGTACGTAGTCGTCATCTCATCGCTAAACGTCTTCCCGAAAAGAATGTCTGGGTTCAAATGACGATATGGGAAGTGAGCTCCAAATCGAAGCAGCCTATCGTGGAATTCGAGGATCTCCTGGACCTTTTCGATAAGAGAGCCACGCACTTTTTCATAGGAAGTCAATGATACATTTTGAAGTGTCCGTCACTCTAAACGACTTTTTAGAGTTTGCAAGTAAAAACTATTTGTCTTCTACCAATGTTTAATTTCTTTATTTGCTCATTATTTTTCCGTGGCAGAGTATTATGTGAAATACAACCGTTATGATGCTGAGATCTTTGCAAAACCTTGACCCTCAGATCAGATCGAACCGCGGTTACCCTTTCCGAAGGCACACGTGTTGCCCACTGCACCACAGTGGCCCTTGTTTTACCTTTTTCTCAGCCAGTTTTCCGTTCTAACGGTGCCATTAGCAATCACCCGTCAACGGGAATAAGAAAATTGGTTGCGAGAAAGGCGAAGCTAGGAGCTTAGCGGTGCAGTGGATAACACGTGAGTCCCGAGAAAAGGTTAATCGAGGAGTAGAATCTGGCCTGGGATCTAGGTTTTGCAAATGTCTCAGCATCATTATATTTTTCTTTTATTTTCAATTTATCACTTTGAACAACTAGGCGAATTGTTAAGTTCGGAATCATATATTCTTAGAAATAGTCCTGCTTTATTCCACCTATCACACTATAACCATGTGACCTTTAGCGCTCATTAAAGCAGTGAGACAGCATTTCTATAGCTTATTCTTCCTAACTGAGGTGAGGAAAATCATCCATCTAAACCATTCTTTTACTCGAAAGCGATAGCACGTTCCTTTCGACTCAAACTAAGTAAATCGTATTTCATTTTAAGCATGATACCTATGACTTTCTGGTACAAATGTCATCCACCTTGATCGAAATACAACTTATTGTGTATCAAATTTTGTAGTTCTCATAAAGTTCCTTATCCCTTTTTTTAGTGAATTTGATTTCGAGAAGCGATACTCGCCGCAGTGTTATCTAATGTGACGACGTATTCGTGTTTAACTACATTAATGATTGTTTTGATTAAAAAGTAGGCGTATAGAGCAGCGGTAGAGGTGCTATTCCATAACACGTACAATTTTCTGGTTCGACCCCACACTGTACCAAACAAACTCCCGATTTTTGAATGGCCAAGAAATTATTGGGAGACCTGTTTAAGGAGTCAGCTCTGACCTACAAAGGCTGGTGGTGTGGTGAAGTCCTGTGCTGAAGACCTGAAAACGACCTGGTATGACAATCCCAAAACTCGAAACAGAATCGACTAGATCAGTATTCAACGACATTCAGAAGACCAGAAATGCTCAAACAGGAATTTGAACCGACACGCAAACTCGGAGTCCTTCGTGGACGATGAATTCGAGCAAATGGATCGAATTAAGAAGTGCTGTGATCGATGCAATATCTGTAATCTCTATTCGTTTTGAGCAAAAAAAATAGAAAAAAAAAACAATGAGTATGGATTGGGCTTCTACAGTAATTTTCAGAGATAAGTCAGTTGGAAAATGATTGTTTTTGTCTTGTAAGACTAACCACCTGTTACCAGATCTCAGACTTCAAGGGGGCAACGGAATCGTCGAAATGACGGATGGTGACGATCGAACCATAGGAGACCATCTGTCTTAGAACTGGGCGAAATGGCAAGAACTTAGTCTTCTAACATTATCATGCACATATGATCAGTTGAATTGAACGTTTTCGAACTGAAACGGCGTTTTCAAAAAGGGTTTTTGTACAACTTCAAAAGTTTTTTGGCAACTTCTATAATTACAAGCCCTTAGGACCCCTTAGGTCTTTTAGGCCTATCTAATTTGAAAATTCATATAATCAACAAAGAGCTTGGAAAGTGTCATCTTATGAACGAGAAGACAAAAGTCAAATGACTTTTTCTTCTGTTTACACTAGTTGAAAACCTTACAGGGCGGTTTTCTTCACGAATGTGGTTGCACGTTTCAAAACAAATTCATGGCTGACTAAAACCTCCTTTTTGCAAATATTCTAGCAAAATAATAATGAATTAAATAAGTGAACTTCGAACTTTCATTAAAAATTCGTTTCAATTTGCGTTGATTGGAGTTCTGTACGGATTACAGTAACAACTTAGCTCGGGTAGGTCAAAGTCTACGTGCTAACTCATCAATAATTGCACAATATCGTTTTTTAAGGTCATAAAAAATCCGAAACGTCCCCAGGTTGTTTGTTTGATCGAAGTCGATCGGAATGGCATTCTACACACAAGTTTTCTATCTTACTATTTCATCGACTGTAAGAGCACTTGCTGCCACTTTTAAGAGATTCTTGACAGTTTGACAGTTTGTTGACAGACGTAACATCGACGCTCTGAACAGTCCGGATCTTTTCTCGAACTTCTAATTCATTTATCTAATAATATCAATATATGATATGGCTGACTTGGCTAACTAGCGTATTGTCGAATTTTTGCTGCTCTTCGACTTTCTGGTCTAGCCGCATTTGATCTACAATCGATATCCCCACACTCATTTTCCTTCCCGGTTCGGGTTTGAACAAAACAACAAACTTTAAATTTTTGTTGTAATTTTATGTGAGTGAATGAGTGTCGTCGCGTGATGGTAACAGAGTGATCTGAATTTCTAGCGTGACAAATGAGACATCGTCACGATTCCTTGAGAAGATGAACTATGCACATCAAGTCATCGGCATAGTTTAGATATTATTGATCGAATAATTCTTTATATTCTTGTTAATCAAACATGAGGTGTTACTTTACCCTGATTCCAGTAAAGCTGACGTTTCGGAGGGTTTCGTCTTCCTCAGAGCCTAGAAAGGCCTGCAAGGGGAAACGAAGGCGAAATCCATCGAAATGTCAGCTTTAATGGAATAAAAAGTAAAATAACACCTCGTGGTTGCTCAATAAGATTATAAAGAATTGTCCGATCATTAGCGAAGTTAGTAGAAAGTCGGCCGTGGGAAATATTGATTGAATCGATTGGGTTCTGAATACGTTATGTCAAAGTAGAGCAAAAAGCATGCGTAGTGATCTTGCATCTTTTTAACCTACAGCAATCAATAACCAGTGAGAGATTCGCGAAGAAAGCGATTTAGCGCCAATGTTTTGTTTACAAATGTTTTCTTTTTGTCTAAAACGTCATCTCATCTCATGTAACATTTTCGAGAGCCTCTCCATTTTGTTCAGTGCTTTTGTGTTAACTGCGCATTGATGAGAATTCGTAGATGATTTCGAATTTCAGCGGAAACTTCGCATGGATCTACTTCGACCGTTCGAGGAGCCCGACTTGCGCATAATTATGCCAAATCCCGTCGTGAGTTCTTTTTTTTATTCTGTATGACGTCGGAATGAAAGTAAAAGCACTTTGTACGACTGGACAATTTTACATACTGGCGCTCCAGTGCGAAAAAAAATGGCCCAAGAACAGACGAAGAGTTGTTCATAGGGAAGAGCGGTTCTGACTTCTAGTTCCGATCAGCTGAGATCGCTGTTGAAAACAAGTTTAAGGCGAACACATAAGGCAATAGTGTATTTGTAACTTCACTTCGACCAGTAACATCATTGTTATGATCGATGACGACTCTAAGAGATTCTATCTTTTGAATAACGAGAGAAAAAGAAAAACAGACAGACATTCGAGCAGGTATTCGATAGGAAGCCATGAAAACATTAGCATAACATATTGCAATAAAAAGGATAAAGCTCTCGGCGTTGATCAATCCCTGAGCGATGTGCCGTGCATTCAACTTCATTAAGTATCGTTGGAGGTGATTGGATGCATATCTGGCCTTTACAATGACTCGCGGTGACCTACCGATGTATCGAGCCAGTGCTGCTAATCCTCCCAGACAAGTCTGGTATCAATTCGCCTACCCCGGATGCATGAAAGGCTTCGTGGGCCATGGGCGCGGGGATCGATTCCACGTGTGTGTCGCAGTGGGGCCTCCAACCAACCACCGCATATTACAATAGGTTGAATATTTCCGGGGAATGAGTTAATGGAGCAAGGAAACGTGTATGTATCACTCCTCCATTGATCCGCCTCTAGGAGCTAATTTCCCACAAATCTCATTTCCGCATCAGCGATCTCCACCTATTAGACTTTGGTAAGTAGAGCTAGCATAAAGTTACGAGTTCTGCTTAAGTTGCTTATATGTTTTTGGCTCCTTTTTTCTTTTGGTAACGGCAATGTAGATTTCCAACGTGGAAAGAGGCATGACAGCGCTACTCGTTGTTTGTTAAAATATTTATCATTAAATGATGAAAAGAAGAAAGAGGGAGAGAGAGAAGAAAAGACTTTTTCCGTGGATCGTTTTTAATAATGGATTGTTTATACCCTTTTGCGAATCATAACATTGTCAATTCCTTCAACGTGAGAGTTTCTAGAGTTCCGAAACGGACGAGGAGATGAGTGTATCGGAGAGACGACGATACAAAGCCTACACGGTCATGCAGCGATCCGGATTTCAGCACACTGAGTACATTTTTGCGATAACAAATTTGCTCAGACTATTCTTAGAACAGATTATATTATTGGAATGATGGGGAAAAGTTGACACTTAATTGTTATCAGTTTTACTCGATGTAAGAAATTCAGCTACGTTTTCTCATCTGGGAGCGTTTTGAGATGTCTGTCTTCTATAATGCCTTATCTTCCAGTAATGGCTAAGGCTACTTTTCACCAAGACGGCTATAACCACATCAGGCTGTGCTTCCTAATAAACTGGTTTTGGACCTCTAAAACATAATTTCTTCCCAAATATAAACTTTTAGGATATTTTAAGCCTTTAGTCCGGGAATCTTCTTGCATCGGGATCACATTTGTTTTCTTAGCATCGCCACTGAATTGCAACATTTCCGTGGCTTAAGGAATTGAGTGTTCTCTGGATAATTTAGAAATGACCGTATGTTCTACAAGATTCGTAAAAGTTTCCAATTATACCTTTTGTTCCGTATTTTAGCGAAAGGAATAGAGCACATTTCACCGACAGTTGTTTTGCAAGCACGTCTTTTACAGTTCACTATGAACTTATCGTTTAAACTGAGCTTAAGGGTTGATCTTCAGTGCTATTTCTTCAGTCAGCACCAAAACTCAACGCTCAGCTTTTATTTCGGGGCTTCATCTCTGAACGTTTTCCATATTGTTTGCTTCCAATATATTTTATGCACTGTAAACATGAAAACGAATTTAATACATCGCAGATATGTGAAGATTATGGTCCACTTATGCCGGGCAGAATTGGCCATATCTTTCGCGTTTCTCGTCCACGGACTCGGTTGTCCTGGCTACCCCGACGAAGCGGAGTACCAGAGCACCTGTCACATGAACACCGTAGCAGCACTGGTAGGCCTACTCACTGGAGCTCTTGGTCTCGGCGCTGTTCATAAGTAGGTTTACTGTGGGTTTCCATACAATGGTTGTTTGTCAACTTAACCATGTATAACTGTTTAATCATGAATTTATATCCATTAGTCATATTCTCCCTGAATGATTTGCTCATTCACATTGACGAAGACGTCTTGTTTAGCTTCAAACTGCTCTTTAACTATTGGTTTATTTGCCACTAAGGAAGTTGATCACATTGAAAATAACTTCCACCATCACACTGGAAACTCCACACACGTGTGGTAGGGTAGGAAAACAAGGTCATGAAAACATGCATCTGTCTGCTTCTCAGGAGTTCTCGACAGGCGGTTGAACTCCATCGTACCCAACCAAGAGTACTTCATTATATATGTATATATATGTATATATATATGTATATATATATATATATATAGCGCAGGATCTGCTTTTACATGCATAGGTTTACATGTTTCTGCAAGTGAGCAAGTACAACGTGGTTCGTCAAACGAACAGTGCAATCCTTGCCTTCCTTCCAGGAACGGAACTTCCATGAAACTTCAGGGTAATAGGGTTTGTAGTGCTTGCACCCATTTCTTCTTCACTTTTTTCGTTAGTGTGTACTTTTGAACTCCCATCTGATCGTTCCATAAAATGAAATCGGCACTCTCCACTACTTTTTTTTCTCTCTTCAACCAGGATCGTTTCTCCACAGGAATGTTTGTTTTTCTTAGAGAAGATTTATCCATATTGCATTATCGATATTGCAATCGTTCACATTCTATGCATATCCATGGAATTGCAAGGAGCTTGCTCGTTCTTATCATGAAGATGTTGGCCAAGAAACCTTGCTGGGGTTGTGACGAACTACATGCGATGAGGATTCGGGCACTTTAACGAGTTCTTAATCAGGTGTAAATGGGTCATTGATAAAGATTTGATTAAAAAGGACGAGTACATGCCAGAATATCCTTGAATTGTGAGGAAGCTATACTTCTTCCATCGAAAAACAACGATAATCCAACTTCAACACAACGAAGTGCCCTTTTCGATAGGAGAAAAACTTGGGCCTGCATTCAAACCGGGTCATCAAATAGCGATAAAAGGGTTAAATTGACATCCACATTGCTCACAATCACGCTGGCCGTCCCTGGGTCATCTATATAGATGAATGATTTGTTTTTCCAGCACTCGATTTGCAGTCTTTGCAGATTGTCGTTTTTTAATGGATATTGCTTGGACTGTTGTAAATCGAGCAGAAAAAGCTGTGCTCATTAAGCATACGTGCAATGAGGCGAACAAATAGTATTAAATGGATCGCCGACAAAGAAGGCCACACCCATCATGTACTCAGGATGATGAATGAACATTCACAACAATTTGAAAGGACGTAAACAGAAAAAGAGAACGGCTAGTACTAAATATTAACGTTCAAGCGTTCTTCTAGGGAATTCGGCCATGACAGACTGGTTTTCTGTTACGGAAACGACGTCATAACTAACTACTCGTCGACATCACTATCATTTTTTGAAGTGAACCCTTTATCTCAACCTCGAGGATAGTATGGAAGCAACTGCTCATTTTTCGTGAATATCCCAATCGACTTAATTTACACAATTTCTACGACTTATGGCACAGTGGGCGTCTCGAAGACTATGTGGAATAATCCTGAGATTATTTTCGACGAAAAGTAGGGACATGTGTGTGTTTTTTCCAACTAGCAGCTGTCACCGTGCTGCGTATCACACCAGATGAAGTCCCGTTCTCTCGTATTTTCATGGAATTCTCACCTTTTTCCATTTGATGACATGACTAGGTCACTCTACAGTTGAAATTGCTCACATAGAAATTTTCCATATTTCTACAAGGATGGGCGCATGTGGCGCAGTGGTCGGAGGCGCTCTGCAACACACACGTGGAATTGATCTCCGTGCCCATAGACCATCAAGCCTTCCATCCTTCCGTGGTCGGCAACTTGGTACCAGATTGTCTGGGGGATAGCAGCACTGGCTCGATACATCGGTACGCCACCGCGAACCATTGTAAAAACCAGATATGCATTCAGTCAGCTCCAAACGGTGCTTAATGAAGTCCAATGCATGACACATCGCTTAGGAATTGATTAATGCCGAGAGCTTTATCCTTTCATATAAGGATGACTAAAAAATCGAGGCTTATAACAATAAAAGTGATCTAATAAACTGTCCCTCAAACACTTAATGCCTTAACGCTACTGGGAGTGCCCCTGTCTGTCAATATAAGCTATGGTACACGGTAAGCCAAACCAAAACTAAGACAGACAAGAACTGCCATCTTAATAGATTGATACTAACCTACTCTCAAAGTGGTTACTCTACCGCTAGTATACAAAGGCCGATGGGTGCTTGAGATGACCGGGTGCGAAGATCCTACCACGGTTAAGTTGCGACGAAAACGACGTACACTTTGATGAATGTCCCATTTTGCATCATGAACCTTTTGCATCGTACCGGCGAGTTACAAAGCTGGAAGAAAGACTACAAAGGAAGAAAACGATGGGCTGTCAGCATTCCTTCTGTGTTCTGCATTTGTATTCCTTGAGTGGTCAAGAAAAATAAGGATGAATGTCACTGTGGGAAAATTTAATACAGAAAAGATAGTGTTACTCCATCTCTAGGTTATCTTACCATCGTTTGAATTGCGAATATCATATTTATTCGTAATTACTTATTCATAATTTGGATTTTGAATGAAAAAAGCGAGTGATTGGCAGATATCGCTGGCGGACAATGTTGATGATGTGGTTGGTGTGCTGTATTATCTCGGCTGTCGGCAATCTGCTCGCCGTGATAACCACAGGTATCTGGCTCGACCACCTATCCAAGATGAAGGACCGCACTGGCCTCGTCAATGGTCTAAGCGGATTTATGCTGCTGTCTTCAGTAGCCGTCGGTGAGTTCTTTAATGAGACTCCTTACAACAAACAAGTTAACACCTTCATTGCAATTGTCGCGTGAACCTTCCAAAAATATTTTGACACTGTAGTGTTCTAATTCACCGTGCACTTAAAACTTTTTTTTTCTTACACTAGACGTCTGTTTCCGCAGATGTTTCGGAAGTGTAGCTTGTGTAACCTTCAGGAGTGTGCTTCATTCTTACCGCAGTGATGATTTGTCACTATTGGAATTCAAATTCGCCTAAATATCAACCCGTTGGGAAAGTAGCGGTGAGTAACGAGGCTGGTTTTGTGGTAAGATTTGATCCTCGAATGTCGTCCAACTCCATACTGTTTCTTTATGAGTACCTTTACCGTTCTCCACTTAAAACCTTTTAACAATTGAATGTATTCTTAGAAATTCTTTACTGATGGTATCCGCACCTTTATATTAATTGATCACTTAAGTGCTTATATATTTTCAACACTCATATTCGTGATTTGCCTAAGTTCTAGTTTACAGTTAGGGGCTATGTCGTTAAATCTTCTGTGATTCTATTATAGTTGGGCTGGGAATCCCTATTAATGAGATGAGATTTTTGCCATCTCGTGAACAGAAGCCCTGTCAGATTGGTAGCAAAAATGCTATCGGTAGTAACTCCCACGACCGACTTTCTATTAACCTCGGCATTGATCAAGTAATTCTTCGTTTTGTTGAGCAAACGCGAAGTGTTATTATTCTATTACTCGAATTATTCGAATAATATTATATGTTGTTATTTTATTCGAATTGCGAATACTACGCACCTGTCTACGAAGCCGACAAAACCAGATGTTCGCCAAGTGGAAGAAGTGCGAGACGAAGGAAAACTTTTGTGCTCAGTATTTGGAGGACCGCCTCTGGAGGCGAATAGTGGGCAGGTCAGTGTTGATTTGCAACTCTATTAGGTCTAATGCTAAAGTAGCTTTGCGGAGAAAATTCGAAGACCTTTTGAGTAAATCACATAATACAGCTTTAATAGCGCACAAAAATATCGCTAAGGAACATCAAACAGATCACAATAGGATAGATAATGTGCAAGAAAATTCAAGGCTAATCGTGTTAGGAGGCATGACTCTCCCTGACGGTGCGCGCTCGTTATTAGAATTGGGGCCGAGTTTCTCACCATCTGAACCCATTTCTAGGATAACCTTGCGTAGGGTCGCATGTGGTTTACATGAACTTCAAGATAGACTCCGCAAAAAAGCCAGAGATGAAGCGCTAAATAGGTGCGAACAACATCAAGTGGGGGCCCTACCAATAGCACCATTTCCCCCGGCGTTCTTTAGACAACAAGAGCCCAATAATGAAGTTGATGTTAATTTTCGGATGTTCGCGAATGAAACTCTCAAAGTCCTTAATCACTATCGCCCGAAAAGATACAGCTCAAACCTCACTCTAGTGCAAAAACGCGGTATGCGAGAGGTACGAGAGCTGATAAGGTTGAAAAATATAAGACTATCCGTTAGTGATAAGGGCGGAGGGTTTGTCGTAATTCTCCAACAGTTGGATGTTGAGATAACGAAAAAGCATCTTGAAGATGTTTCGCTTTATCGCCCATCATCTGAGGAGTTTAAAAGTAAATACCGAAAACTGAACCACGATTGGGCCAAAATGGTGGCAAGGGCTGCTGGTTTAAAACCATCAGTTATCTCTCAACTAAAAATTGACTTACCAACATGTCCCGTATTGTACTTGCTTATAAAAACCCACAAGTTAGTATCCAGCGATGATCTTGCGTCTACCGACCCATCACTATTTAAGGTTAGACCTATCATTAGCTGCGTAGACGGGCCAACGGACAGGATAACATGGTTTTTAACCCTGATATTTAACCAGTTGTTGAAACACATTCCAGCCCATCTTACGAATACCCAGATGTTTCTGGATCGTCTACGTACTGCGCAGCCCAACAGCGCGTGCGTGATGGAGTCCTTCGACGTTACCGCCCTTTATACAAACGTGTCGAATGACTCCGCAATGCAAGCCATATTCGAACTCCTTCTACAATACGAAAGAGAAATAAACATGTATGGCTTCAAGATAGAGCAGTTGATGGCGCTCTTAAAAGAATGCTTGAGCTTTTCAATCTTCAGATGGTCCGGAAAGTACTACGCTCAAATAAGAGGGTTCGCAATGGGACAACGACTGGGTCCAAGNTATTTAACCAGTTGTTGAAACACATTCCAGCCCATCTTACGAATACCCAGATGTTTCTGGATCGTCTACGTACTGCGCAGCCCAACAGCGCGTGCGTGATGGAGTCCTTCGACGTTACCGCCCTTTATACAAACGTGTCGAATGACTCCGCAATGCAAGCCATATTCGAACTCCTTACACAACACGAAGGAGAAATAAACATGTATGGCTTCAACATAGAGCAGTTGATGGCGCTCTTAAAAGAATGCTTGGGCTGCTCAATCTTCAGATGGTCCGGAAAGTACTACGCTCAAATAAGAGGGT